ATATTTAACATAGTCAAAACTGTAAACTTTATGTTATATCTTTTAGAACTTAAAAAAGCTCGAGAGCCAAAAGAAAAAAAAAATGTTAGGGGAAAATCCATGTGAAAGTTTCTGTGCGTTCTCTAGAGGCCGTCTGCGGTACTGCACGGAGAGAAGGGGCACCAGCACCAACTGTGAGAGTGAGCGAGCGAGGCCAGCTCGGGGAAAGAATGCAGTGCGGGGAGAGCACAGCCTAGACACAGACAAATCTTGGTTCACAATCCTGCATCCATCCATCCATCTATCTATCTATCTATCTATCTATCTATCTATCTATCTATCTATCTATCTACCTACCTATCTTCCTTCCTTCTTCCTTCCTTCCTTCTTTCTTTTAGATTTTATTTATTTATTTTTAGAGAGGGGGCAGGGGAGGGAGAAAGAGAGGGAGAGAAACACTGATGTGTAAGAAATATCCATCAATCAGTTGCTTCTCACTTGCCCCCAACTGGGGACCCGGCCCACAACCCAGACCTGTACCCGGACTGGGAATCGAACTGGCAACCCTTTGGTTCACAGGCTGGCACTCAATCCACTGAGCCACACCAGCCAGAGCCACAACCCTGGATCTTTCACTTTCTGGTATAACTGTATTTGTTTCGTCCTGTCCAGCATGGTGGCTGTGTAGCGTCTCTGCGGCCGTGCGGTGCCTGCTGCCCCACCCACCCCCGCTTGCCCGGCCCGCACCAGGGATGTTGCTGCTGCGCTGGGGCGAGCTCCTATTCCAAGGACAATGAGGATAGCTGGTTCCACTCTCTCTCCACCCCACTGTCCAAGGAGACCAGAGACCTCTATAAGGAGATCCAGTTTGACAATGTGAAGCTGGAGTGTCTGGATGCTTACAACAGCCTGATAGAGACTGTCTTGCCCACGCTGCACCTGGATGAGGACTACCCCTGCTGGCGGGTGGGCAACTGGAACACGTGGTACAGGGAGGAGGAGCAGCAGTGCACCTGTGGCATTGTCAGGTCGCTACCCAGACCTCATGGACTGCATGAACAAGCTCAAAAACTAGGAGTACCTGGAATTCCAAAGAGTGGAGCCAGATGCTGCTGTCTAGGAGAAACCAAATGCTCCTTGAGTTCAGCTTCTGGAAGGAGCCACAGCCCAGGGAGGCCCCAACATCTATGAGCTGAGGACATACAAGCTTAATCCAGGAACCATGACTGAATGGGGGGAAAACTGAGCTGGAGCTATCAAGTACCAGCAGGAGAACCAGGGAGTGGTGGGCGGCTTCTTCTCACAGATAGGAGAACTCTACATTATGCACCATCTCTGGGCCTAAAGGACCCTGCACTCTTGGAAGGAAACTAGAAATGCTGTCTGGAGGTAGAGAGGCTAGGACAAAAATGTCTACTACACAGTCCCCGTGGTGCAGCATATGGAGTCTCGGATCATGATCTCTTTGAAGATCTTGCCTCTCCAGTGATGCTGCTGCTAGATCCACCTCCTCCCCTTTCTCCCTCAGGGGAGCCACAGACAGGGGAGCTCTCAGGCCTACTGTCTTGGCATTATCTTGGATCTGGGAGGACTCTGGGGGCTAGTGCTCAGATCAGACAATGAGGAGCTTAAGGATGACAGGCTTCCGAAGAAGCTTGAGCTCTTCCCAGACCCTTTCTACCTTCCCTCTCCGCTCTTCACCAGTGCTGGAAGCAGCTTTTAATTTCTCTGAATGAAGAACAGCAACCTTTTAAATGTCTTCTCACATTTCTCCATAAGACTCCTCATCTCAAGGCTACCAGTCCCCCATTATCACCATGAAAACCCTCAGTTTAGTTGCACAAAAGATAGTGCGTTCAGTGGGCAGAGGTAGGGTGGGAAGGGAAGAGGTCCAACCAGGCCAGGCTCTCAGGAATTCCCTGGTTTCCACTGGACAGTTTGAACCAAGTCCCTCCTGCTAGGGAAAAGCCTAGAAACTGCCTCAAGAAGTAAAGGGGGAAAGCTTCAAGCTAGCAAAGCCAGCAGAAAGTCAGCTATTCCACTCAGAAAGGCTGGGAAAAGAGGGTTGGGGGGGATCTGGGGGTGGGAAACAGAATGGAAGAGGAACTTAGAATCCAGAACCAGGAACCCAGAAGGTAGAACTTGGATTTCAACTGCATTTAGAATACAGAATGGGGAATATAAAACAGAGGTGACAGACCACTTGAAGAGGGGTTCCTAATACAAGACAGTTGGAGAGAGGCTCATCTGTTTCTACATGAGGTTGAAAACTTGAATGTGTAGTTCCAGTCCTTCTGTGCAGGGAGTCTCCTGCCTTTCCTTTTCCTTCCTGCAGGCAGAGGAACAGGCCAGAGCCTCTATTTCCCTCACCCTGCATCCCTTTTCTCTCTCTTCACATTCTATCAGCCCAAACCCCCCATTCTGGGCCACCAGGTATATGGAATGGGGCCAGTGACTTTGGGGGCCTCTTCAATGACCCCCACACCTCATGAACCTCTGGGTAGCTTGATTCTGCCTCCTTTTCAGGAAAAGTTGTGGAGTTGCTGATGGAACCAATTAAATGTTTACTATAAAAAAACTATTTGTTTCTTATTACTGTTGTTACTGAAACAAATAACAACAAATTTAATAGCTTAGAATAACACAGATTTGTTATCTTGTAGTTCTGGAAGTTTTTCATGTGTCTTACTGCCCTTACCATCAAGAACTGCACTCTTCCTTCTGGAGACTCTAGGGGGCAACCCACTTCCTTGTTTTTTCCAGCTTCTAGAAACCTGTATTCTTTGGCGTGGCTCATGGCCTTATCCTCCACCTTCAAAGCCAGCAGTAACATCTTCAGATCTCTCTCTTTCACTCACTCTGATGGCCTCTGCTTCCTTCATCACATCTTCTCTGACTCTCCTGCCTCCCTCTTTTCCTTATAGGAACCCTTGTGATTCCATTGGGCCCACCCAGACAATCCAGGATAATCTCCCCATCTCAAGATCCTTAATTTGTTACATCTGCAATGTCCCTTTCACCATGTAAAGTAACATATTCACAAGTTCTGGGGATCAGGATGTGGGCATGGGGGTGGGGTTGGTATTTTTCTGCCTACTACAGTGACTTTGAAATTTTATGTCACTCGTACTTACGTGTCAAGACTACACCGAAGAGGAAATGTTTCTCATTATTTTTTTCCTAACAGTTTTATTGAGATATAATCCACATACCATACTTTACCCATTTCAAGCAAACAATTCAAATGGGTTTTTACTAGTTACAGAGTTGTGCAATCCTCACATTTTCACCTTTCTCCCATTTTTACATTTGTGGAAACAAAGGCTTGAGACATTAAGGAAACTTGCTTAGGCTAACATCTAATGGCAGGACTGGGGCATTGCAGTGGCTGTCAGGAGCTGACGTTCCACTCCAGGCTTGGACTCCCTTCACGAAGACCGATCACCTAGGAGCAGCACAATGTAGCAGTGAAGCGCGCAGGTGCTTAGGCCAGCTTGGACTTGGGTTCAAGGCTTTGTTTCTGCTATGTACAAGCTATGCGATCTTTGGTAAACCTTCTGGAGCCTTGGTTTCCCTATTTGCAAAATAAGGACAATAAAGTAAATGGCGGGGAGAGGGGACCGGACTCACCTGTGAGATCCTTTCCAGTTATGTAATTCCAAACTTCAATGGCGGGGAGAGGAGGGATAGTTAAAAATAAGTTTCCCAAGCATCCAGGGCACCAGAGGGATGGATACTTATTCCCCGAAAACGAACTCACACGCTTCCCTGGCACATGTCTCAGAGTTGTCATTGTCAGCTGGGTCGGAAAGACAATGCGTAAAACGACCCTTTCAAAGGGAGAGAAGGGTGGGAAGGGTTGAGGGGCCGGACAGGCCTTGGGGTGGTCTGCCCAGGAGTGGGCAACGATCCTCCGCGTGGTAAAAAGTAGGAGGGATCAGTGAAAGCTCTTCCCCAAGGCCAAGTTCAGCCGCTGTGTAACGGGAGGGGGAATGAGTAGAAGGGATGGTTTTGAAAATAAATCTTCAGAGCCGGGTTGGGTGACAGCTCACCACGTGCGGCGCCGCGGCAGCACCCCCGCAGTCTCCCGCCCGCCCACGCGTCCGCGCCGTGGTACGCTCCGCCGCGGCGGTGAGCCTCCTTCCTCCGGCGTGCGATTGGTACAGCCCAAGCGGGAGGCGGGGGAGCGGGGAGGGGGGGGGAGGCACGCCCCTGTCTCTGATTGGCTGGAAAATTTAAAGATCCGGCCAGGGATAGGGTGATTTTCTACTGCTAGTATTTGAAAGTTTCTAGATCCTGGGCTAAGCCGGCAGGTCCGCTCTATTTCAGCTAGTTCGTCCAAGTTCCGGCACAAGTGAGTGTCCACCCGATCTCAGAATTGGGAGGAAGAGAGCCTGCTTCTTTCAGGGGTCTCTGCCGGGAGGGTGCAAACGAGAGGGTTAGTCGGAGGGAGCACACGTTCCAGGGTCGCAGGGCCCTCACCGTGATTTCCTAGCCAAATACTCTGCCACTTCCCCACCTTGGAGATGGGAAGCGCCGGGCTTCGGAATCACACTGGCCTGGACTCCTACCAGCCGTGTGGGTTCTCCCAGCCCGTTTCCACTTTTGTAAACCGCGAATAGTGAGACCTGCCTGGCTGCGTCTAGATCAGTGACCGTGCCTGGAAGGCGATAATTACATGTGCTTCTTTCCCCACATGCGATTCCCCTGCTTCCTGGGGAGAGGACTCTGAGGATTCCCGTGCCTTCCCTGGTCCCCTTGAAGCTGACTTCTATTCAGGGTCTCCCTTCTTCCACGGCCCTGGCCGGACATCCAAACCAGGGTGCATTTGACGCTGCCCATCCGCCGCTCTGGAAATATTGTATAGGAAAGTAATTTCTAAGTGAATTTCCTAAATTGGCCCCAGGGTCCTCTTTACCATCTGTGACCTCTTTGTGTTACCTGTTTGGCCTTGACCGGGCTCGCCGTCACGGCCTCTATACTACCTGTTACGCCCTCGAGTCCCCGTTACCCCTGTGCTCTGATCCATTTGCAGACCTGCAGAGGCGGTCGCGATGCTGTCGGACACTCTCGCAACGGCAACTGAATGCGAGGACTCCGAGTTGCGGTGTCGCGTGACTGTGGAGGAGCTGAGCCCGGGCGGGCAGCCGCGAAGGCGCAAGGCCCTACGCACCGCGGAGCTGAGCCTGGGTCGCAACGAACGCCGCGAGTTGATGCTGCGGCTGCAGACGCCTGGGCCGGCGGAGCGGCCTCGCTGCTTCCCCCTGCGCGCCACCCGCCTCTTCACACGCTTCGCCGCCTCCGGGCGCAGCACGCTGCGGGTCCCCGCCGACGGCGCTCCGGGCGTGGGCGCGGTGCAGTTGCTGCTCTCCGACTGCCCCCCAGACCGCCTGCGCCGCTTTCTTCGCACTCTGCGCCTCAAACTGGCCTCAGCCCCGGGTCCTGGGCCGCCCTCCGCCCGCACGCAGCTGCTAGGCCCGCGGTCCCGCGACTTCTTCACCATCAGCCCCGTGCAGCCCGAGGAGCTGCGACGCGCAGCGGCCACCCGGTGCCCGGACACCACGCCGGTGAAGCGGCCCACAGAGTCCCAGGTGGGGGCAGAGCCCAACACCGTGAGAATACGAAAGGGGGACCGACTTGGAGACTGGGTGTGCCACTAAGTTGGAAGAGACCAAGGAGACCTAAGTTTGGGGGGAAGATGGTGGTGATGGTATTTGAGGGGGTTGCTGGTTATCCCAGAGGAGATGCCCATCGGACATCTGAGTATGACAGAGACGTGGGAATTGGGCGCGTGTTTCTCATAGTGGAATCTCTGAGACAAGATAAGCCAGAATAGGGACAGGGGGCCCAGGTCACGTTAAAAGAGAAAGCAGAGAAGGAGGCCTGAAAAGGAGACTTCAAAAGGAAACTTAAGAATATAGTCCCCCTGGGGAAGAAGAGCTTTGGAGGAACGCGAAGTGGTCGGTAGTATCAGGGCAGCCAACAGGTACCATCAGATGGGGGTAGGGACTACACCTGGTGGTCTTGACAGTTTTTGAACTGGGGCGGATGAATCGCAGACCACAGGGGTTTGAAACTAAGCTGCTGAGAAGATGGAGATGGAGCAAGAAGGGGCCCCGGCTAGGCAAGCTTTTGCTTGGGTGTTGTGAGATGAGAGATGAGTTTGTGGCAGGAAGAAAAGTGAGAAGGAAGGAGGGGTGAGAGGACCAGAAGAGGTAGGGAACCCAGGGGAGGGGGCTGAGGGAGAACCTAGGCCCACGCAGTGGGGTCTTCTAGGAACCAGGAGTCAGTAGAGACCCAGGCTTGGCCCGTTCCTCAAGGAGAGACCTGGACTCCAGTTGTTCCTGGCAAGATCTCCAGGTGAACCAAGGCTGCCCAAGGGCTCTAAGGAAGCAGAGATATAAGGACTACTCGGCCCAGCATTGCACCTGGGCCAAGAAGGGGCGGTTGCGGCAATGTCTAGAGTGAGGGGGGAGGCTCTGAGACAGTCCTGTCTCCCCAGGAAGCCCCAAGGTGGCCCCTGCCTGTGAAGAGGCTGAGCTTGCCCCCCACCAAACCACAGCTTTCTGAGGAGCAGGCTGCGGTGCTGAGGGTCATCCTGAAAGGCCAGAGCGTTTTCTTCACTGGGAGTGCAGGTAGTGGGGGGGCAGAGAATGGTGGTGGGGTAAGACAGGAGAGGTGGTCTTAACTTTGCCCTCTGCCTAGGAACAGGGAAGTCTTATCTGCTGAAGCGTATCCTGGGCGCACTGCCTCCCGCAGGCACTGTGGCCACTGCCAGCACTGGGGTGGCGGCCTGCCACATCGGGGGCACTACCCTCCATGCCTTCGCAGGTCAGTGAGAGCCCCTGGGGCTAGAGCGGGGAGCAAGCCTGCCTGTGCGAAGGGAGGCAGGGAAAGTCACGGTTGAGACAGGGCTGGGGCCTCCACCCATGCTGAACAATGTCACCCACAGGCATTGGCTCAGGACAGGCTCCCCTGGCCCAGTGTGTGGCCCTGGCCCAGCGGCCGGGGGTGCGGCAGGGCTGGCTGAACTGCCAGCGGCTGGTCATTGACGAGATCTCCATGGTGGAGGCGGACTTATTTGACAAGCTGGAGGCCGTGGCCCGGTCAGTAGGTGCAGTGAGGGCTGGCTTCTGGTGGTTTTCCATGAGGTACCTGCACACCCTCGGCCCTAAAGCACTGCTTGCTTCTCTCCAGAGCAGTCCGGCAGCAGAATAAGCCATTTGGAGGAATCCAGCTCATCATCTGTGGGGACTTCCTGCAGCTGCCACCTGTCACCAAGGGCTCCCAGCCCCCACAGTTCTGCTTCCAGGTACCTACCTCTCTCCCTCCTGTCCTGCCTTCCCCCCACCACCCCCAGGGCTCTGCTCTGCTCCCTGACACCACCGCCTTCCCCCACCAGGCTAAGAGCTGGAGGAGGTGTGTCCCAGTGACCCTGGAGCTGACCAAGGTGTGGAGGCAGGCAGACCAGACCTTCATCTCTCTGCTGCAGGCCGTGAGGCTGGGCAGGTGGGCTCCGTGATTAGAGAAGGGGTCACAGATGAGGATCCAAGTGTGTGTCACAGAGGAGCATGTGGACCCAGAGAAGGGGAAGAAATGTTTCTTGGGCCTGTGGGAGATGGTCACTCTGTGAAGACTGCGCCCCTGCCTCCCCCGGGGTTGGTCCCCATCACCCAGCACAGGGCCTGGCACAGAGTAGGTGTCAGGGAACTATGGGCAGATGGACATGCAAGAGGAATTCAGAAATGTCGATATTCTTATCTCACAGATGCAGAAACTGAGGTTCAAAGAGGTAAAGTGACTTGCCCAATGTCACGGCTAGTAAGTGACTGAGCTGGGATTTAAACCTAGGTCTGAGTCTAAAACCTAGGGTCCTTCCACTCTCAAAGCCTGTGGGATCGCTTGGTGGGAGAGGGGAGGTTGCAGGCATGATCCCAGCCCGCCTCGGACTAAAGGTTGAAATGCTATGACTACTCTAATGTGGGAGTGGACGGGCCAGGAGGCAGATGACATGGGCCAGAGCTGAGCATTCAAAGCCAGGTCAGATTGGGGCGGGCTTGGGGAAGGACGGGGGTAGTGGGCCGCTCTGTGCCCTGGGACAGGAGGCAGGTAGGAAAGCGCACAGCATGCACCAGCATGCATGGGGGGCAAGAGGAAGGCTGAGTAGCAGCGCAGGGAGAGATGGGCCCAAGTTGTCCTGCTGCACCCAGGCTTCCCCAGGTAGAAGAAGGCTGGAGACAGGAGTTGGGGGGATGGAAACACCGGTTCAATTTTTTTCCCCTATGGCAGCAGGCCAAGGGCTAGAAGATTGTCCTGTAGAGGCCGATCTGATTATAAGCTACCAGTATTACAAGTACCAACATCAGTGCCTTGTCTGGGTCCTTTAAACCTCCGGACTGTGCTCACGCAGCATATCAAATGTCCTGAGAAGCAGTGAGGATGGGAGGGTGTCTAGCTCCTTCCTGGGGTCAGGCACAGGAAAGGGTACCCACCCACGATCATAGCCAGGCACCCCACACATACCATGCTCAGTCCCCGTGTACGGGGCCCAAGTGGAAAAAGGACAAATTGGCCAGTCTGGAGCCAGCAAATCTTACTCGGGTGCCCCTTTCCAGTCCCCAGGCCTGATCCATGGACTGCTGCTTGGGCCATACCATTCACATGCCCCACCCTCCCTGGTGTTCAGGTGGGCTCTGCCCTAACAGCCCAGCCCCCACAGGTGCTCAGATGAGGTGACCCGCCAGCTTCAGGCTACGGCCACCCACAAGGTGGGGCGAGATGGGATTGTGGCCACAAGGCTGTGTACCCACCAGGATGATGTGGCCCTTACCAATGAGAGGCGGCTGCAGGAACTACCAGGTGAGCAGTGAGTGAAGGCTGGGCAAGGCCAACTGGGAGGGGCTCTCAGGCCAGTATTGCCCCCTGAGGCAGCCAGGGCCCTTGGGGTCATGTAGATATCTAGGCCCCAACCTCTGTGGCCATACGGCCCTTACATTTGCAGAGGTAACTGATTTTGAGCGGTGTGACCTTGAAAGGGTCAAGATCACTCAGCTAGTAAATGCTGGAAATGAGTCTTAAATCCAGGTCTCTGGTTCTAAAGCCCCAGCTAGGTCTGAGCTACCCCCACTACCCACCCCCCCTGCCCTGGTCTGATATGTGTTTTTGGAAACTAAGCCATAAGTGACTAGTAATCTTTTTTCCCAGGTGAGGTGCACAGCTTCGAGGCCATGGACAGTGACCCTGAGCAAGCCCGGACCCTGGATGTCCAGTGTCCCGTTAACAAGCTTCTTCAGCTAAAGCTGGGGGCCCAGGTGAGTGGAAAGCCGGGCCTAGACCCTGGGAGCTGGCCCTCCCCAGCCTTTGCCCCTGTACCCAGGCCACTCCACAGCCAGAGGGCCCAGCTGCGACCACAGCAAACTCCCTTCCCCCTATCCCACCACCTTCCTGTCTTCAGCTTTCCACTGCCCTACTCTTTCTGTGCCTGGAGCTCCAGGCAGTATTGCTTGTCGTAAGTCCCTTGCCCTTGCTGGAGCTTGGTTTTCTCACCTCTAAATTGGAGAGTGAAATATCTACTCCACACAGTTGCCTTCTATACTATATGCTATATTGTACGGGTCCACCTTCCTTCGCCATATTGGGACTGGGCCAAATGGGAATCTTTCCTATGGTTCCCAAGGGCACCTAAGGGGAAAATGTAGGCACTGTAGTTGGAAGAGAAATGGCAGGATCTGGGGGCTCTCCCTCAAGATGGTGGCCCACACACATACCCCACAAGAGGCGTGGAAGTTTTCAAAGCCCTGTGACGTCTGTCACCTTACTGCTCTTTACCCCTGTCCTGAGCAAATGTCTTTCCCTTGACACAAGGGGAATCTTGCTGCAGGGGTTACAGTCAGCCAGTGGCTAAGCTAAGGCTTACGACTCAGTGTCCCTCCATGCAGGCCCCAGCCTCCCAGAACCGCAACAGCGACTGCTGCCCCTGAGACCAGGCATCGGACTGGGGCAGCTCTCCATGCCTCCTGTTCTCTTTCCCCCACAGGTGATGCTGGTGAAGAACTTAGCGGTGTCCCGGGGCCTGGTGAATGGCGCCCGAGGGGTGGTAGTCGGGTTCGAGACTGAGGGGAGAGGTGAGTGATGGCGGCACAGTCCCCCTTCTTGGGACATCAGGGTCCCGAGGTAAGTGAGGGTGGAAAGGTGAGGACTGTGTCTCACCTCTGAGCCCTGAAACAGGGCTGAAAAGCTGGACTTCTCCATGCCTCCCTCAGGGCTGCCCCAGGTACGGTTTCTGTGCGGAGTCACCGAGGTCATCCGTGCTGACCGCTGGACAGTGCAGGCCACGGGGGGCCAGCTCCTCAGCCGGCAGCAGCTGCCCCTCCAGCTGGCCTGGGCAATGTCCATCCACAAGAGCCAGGTGAGCAGCCAGTGTGGGGGAGGGGGCCGGGCAGGGCAGAGGGCGTACAAAATAGGCAAGTTGAGGGGCCCTTAAAGGCTTTATGGGGGCTGATCTTGCCCTAGATGGAAAGTTCCAGACTGGTTGTAGAATAAATCTTTTAATTTTTTTTAGACTTAATTTATTTTTAGAGAGAGGGGAAGGGAGAGACAAAGAGAGGGAGAGAAACATCGACGTACAAGAGAAACATCGATTGGCTGCCTCTAGCACGCCCCCAGCCAGGGACCTGGCCTGCAACCCAGGCACGCGCTCTAATTGGGAACTGAACTTTTCGGTTCACAGGACAGTGCTCAACCCACTGAGCCAAGCCAGCCAGGGCTAAACCTTTCTTTAGTGCATTTCCCATCCCACCGCTCTCCCTTTCCCCTCTGTCATCTCCTGCCCTGCCATTTTCTGAGCCACTACCAGACATGTTAAATTTAATACTCCCCTCATTACAACTATTTGAGGTATACTTCCCTCGTTGCAACAATATGAGGTATAGATGTAATGATCGCTCCTGTTTTTACAGAGGTAGAAACCGAGGCTCAGAGAGGTTAAGTAACTTGTCCAAGGCCACACGACTAGCGAGAGGCACAGCCAGGATTCCTTGCCATGGCTGTCTGACCCAGGCCTGTGTTCCTCCTCTCAGTCCTGTCCCTCTCTCTCATCCTGCCTGTGTCTCCTGGAGCCCCTCCGACTCAGATACCCATCCAGGGTCACCTAGGCCTCTGCCTTGAGAGTCTCTGGACTGGGCGAGGGGATCCAGGGGCAATAGCTGGCCTGGTGAGAGAAGCAGGCTCTTGGACACAAAAGGCTTCAGGCAGAGCCGGCTCCATCTCTGCTGTTCCTTCCCCCAGGGCATGTCCCTGGATTGTGTGGAGATCTCTCTGAGCCGTGTGTTTGCCAGCGGCCAGGCCTACGTGGCCCTTTCTCGGGCCCGCAGCCTGCAGGGCCTGCGTGTGCTGGACTTTGACCCCACAGTGGTTCGCTGTGACCCCCGTGTGCTGCGCTTCTATGCCACCCTGCAGCGGAGCAGTGGCCTTGGCCTGGTAAGAGGGAGTTACCCGGTGGTGAGCCACATGGCTGTGGGCAGCCTAGGAGCTAGAACAGACGGAAGGCCAAGGGACCCTGGGTAGGGGTGGCAGAGCCTTCTCTGGCTTTGTTGGGGACAAGGGCAAGAGGAAAGTTGTGACTCTGGGGGACAGCAGAAGTCCGTGACTCAGACTCTCTGGCTTCAATCTAGGGGTCCCCAAGTGATGATGAGGCATCCTCAGACCAGGAGAATGTGGACCCAAATCTTGGAGCTGCAGAGAGAAGAGAAGGGTCATCTGCCCCTCCTCCTGCCCCCTAGAGGGTCAGAGCCCCAGGAGGCAGCCGGGGAAGGATGGTCAGTGCCCCGTTCTCCCTTCACTGGGGCCTCTCAGGCTCCTGCAGGGGCACAGGGATAGTGCTTCCCACCCATTTGCCCTCTGTGCCTCAGTTTCTCCCCTTGCCCTGGGTGAGCTGCTTCCAGGGTCAGGAGTAACCCTTTCTGTGCCAGCTGGGAATGGGTCCCCGGTGGTACCTGGTGTTAGAGGACAGCTGTCTGTGAGGGCCGGCCACAGGGCCACAGTCGCGGATGCGGCCCCTTTTGGGCTGCAGAGGGGAGAGGTGCTCCAGGAGCAGGAACAGGCCGCGGGGGTCCTGTGGGACTCGGGCCGAGTACAGGCACAAATCAAGAAGGGAACCTGGTAATTTCACAGCCAGGCCCAGCCTAGCACAGCCAGGACAAACACCTTCTGAGCCTGACAATATGAGAACACGCACAGCAAACTGTGCACCCGCATCTTAAGCTGCTTTTAGGGGGAAGAAATAGTGTGTAGGGATTGAAACGGAAGTTCTCAGATTGTATGTATTTAGGGCAAATAAACTTGTGAACTGTGTAAGACTGTGAGTTGAGTCTTCTGCTCCCTTTAAGAAGGTGCCCCTCCCTGGGACACTGGATGTTCCTGGTCCCTGAAGGCTAATCCTGACGCCAGCCCCCGGCCCTGCCTGTGCACACAGGCGGTAACACCCTGATGACTGAGCTCCCGGACCCTTCCGTGAGTTTTCTTAGTATCGCTGGTTACCGGTATTTGGAAAGCTGAGTTAGCTGAGGTTGATGACTCACGACGAAATGACAAGGTGAATCACTATCACCCAATAGTCAGATAGAGACAAACTAGAGAATTCACATGGTGAGAAATGGGCCTGTTGCAACATCTGAAGCATGCCGGGAGCCTCAGCTGAAACTTTCTCACTCTGAAAATCTAACTTGGACATTCTGGTGGCGGAGGGATCACAAACAAGCCTCTGTTGATCAAAAAGCCTAATGGAAACTGCTCAGGGGCCCTCATAGACCGGTTAAAACTGTTCACGGTTCCCTGCTTGTGAGTGAAAGGCATCAACCCAGTTATGGTAGAAGCATGTATTGACAGTTACGGAAAGCGATGACTAATAAATATAATAAAATCTCCAATGATGGGAGGGGTCGAGAATAACGAAACCATGCTGGTGGCTGGGGAACATGAAATATGGGTGTTTGAAGGCACTTATCCTTGTCCTCCAAAGGCCAGCTGAGGCCCCGGTGCACGGAGTAGGTGCTCGGGGAGCGTCTGGCTAAATGGCGGAGGCCACTGACGTCGGGGGCTCAGTGCGGTGGTGGGTCAGAGGGGCTCCAGGGCCCCACACCTCCGCTGTGGGCTTCGTGGGGGAGGCAGGGCTACAGCCTGTGGAGAATGTGACTGATGGTTGAAGCTCAGAGGACAGGCCTGGCTTTCCATCCTGGCTTTGCCGCTTGCCAGGTATGTGACTTCAGGCGCATTACACAACCTCTCGGAGAGGGTTTCCTCACCTGCAAAGTACAGGTGGTAACTTGCTTTCGCAGAGGGTTGTTGGAAGAAAGCCCAGCCACATGGCAGGAGCTCAATAAGTAGCTGTTATTAACAGTTATGATTGCTAATGATTATCACCGTGGTGTCTGGTTCCTACACTGGCTCCTTCAGCGGACGAGATCTGGAGCCTCAGAGGGATGCCAGCCTGGCCCCTGGACAGCCTCTGACTCTCTGGCTCTTGACACTACCCTTCCTGACCTGGAGGAGTCAGTTGTTTTTCTGTAGCCTGAATCCTTTTCTCTACCCCAAATAGAAGGCTCACTTAGGAGAGGCCATGCCCACAGGGTGACCCCTCAACAAGTGGGCAACCGTGAGGGCCTTTAAACACGGTACCTCGAGGGCCAGGGTGTTTCTTGTCTGCCCGCATGACAGCTGTCCTCCCAGGTCCAGCTGTTAATAGGTCACACTGTCACCCAGTCCTCAGGAAGCTTACAATCTCGGTTGCACCTTGCATTTTTCACTCCTTCCCCTTACCATTTGGGGACATCCAGGTCAGCACAGATGGCACTGTTTCGTGTTTTCTAGCCGCTCTGCACCCTTTGGGGTTCTTGGATGGAAACAGGAGAAACTGACTCAGGATAACTTCAGCAGGAAAGGAAGGTAATGGAACAGAAGGCTCACTCAAAGAAGTGATACAAAGCCCAGAAAACCCAGGCTTGGAAACAAGTGGGAACCAGGGAGGCTAGAAGCGCTGGCAAGAGTGGGACTGAGAGCAGCTGGCCAGGAGGACCTTTGTAGCCACCCTGCGCACCAAGCACAGCCACCAGGGGAAGGAGTCCTGCCATATTCTGCCTCCACATCACTCAGTCCAGACCTAACGGCATGTGTGCGACTGGTTGGGCTTGGTCTCCCAGGCAGGTCCTGCGGCCACTGGCAAGAGGCTGAATGTGCAATGAAGGTGCAGCAGGTACCAGAGCTTCTATCTTACATCATCCCCCAGAGCTGCACTGTTGAGGATGTCTGAGCGTCCTCTCCTGGGATTCTCCTCTCTGGCTCCACCCTCAACACACACTCCCAAGGCCCTCTCCCCCTCCCAGCCCTTTCCTCTCACCCAGGCACCAATTTCCGCTTCCCCGGTCTCATATGGACTTGCTCTGCTCAAGGTGTCTTCCTCACAAGACTGCCTGGTCATCAGAAAGTTCTTCTCCTTATGAAGATACTTTCCAGAAGGCCCCCGGAGAAAGGCAAACACGTTCTCTGTGTGGGGAGCTCCAGACATACCTGCCTCTCAGGGCAGATCATGATAGTGGATTGTCTTGTGAGGAAGGTATGCAAGCAACCTCACGGTTCTTTATTTTCTTGACATCTAAGTTAATCTTACTTCTAACCTGTATCTCTGGGGGTGTAGGGAAACTCTATCTCAGTCAATATTGGGGGCTCCCCACCCCTAGGGTCATACAGGCAGGGAGGGGCCTTGTAGGAGCAGGCCTTTCATTTCCAGGGCCTCATGGTGGCTGCTATCACCCGCAGTGACCAGCGTCCACAGGCTATAACCCTGCCCGGGGCTGAGGGTGGGGGGAGGGTGCTTTCTGAGAGCCAGTCTCCCCAGGGACCCTGCACCATGCCTTCTGGAACCCTGCCACCTCCCTGTGGTTCTCTGAGGGGACCCTGTAATCGTTTGCCCCTCTTCAGTCTTGGAAAGCCTCCTCTCTTTGACTCTGCTTCCCCCCAACATAGTCCCCTCAAGGAACTGGACCTAGGAAGCAAAAGTCAAAGACTGTGTCCTCAGATAGCATTTCCTTTGTGGCAAAGAAACAGGAAGGACTAGAGACCCCCTTAGAGTGTGGGGGCCGTCGTGAATGGATAAGTATGGGGAGAACAAAGGAGGAAATGTCCCTAGTAATCTTGTGATACTGAGATAAAGAAGACTTTATCTCATTCCTTCCTTCCTTCCACAAACCTTCCTCCCATGCCTCTTATAAGCCAGGTGCTGGACTAGACTGGAGACCCCCCAGTAAACCAGAGTGATGTGGCCCTGCCTCAAGACACTGTAGCAAAGGGAGGGAGGGAGACCAATTCTAAACAAGCAAACAAGATAACCTCAACTTGTGACTAGCGCTAAAGAATCAAGCAATGGAGAGTACCTGCCGGGTGGCAGAGGGACAGTCAGAGAAAGGGACCCTAAGGCAGATGCATTCCCTGCTCACACCTCCTTGACTTGGCTACATGTTTCTAGCAAACCTGAAATGGCCAGATTAATCCTTCCTGACTCGCTTGAGACATCAACTGCTTTGCGTCCCAGAACCCAGCCCTGCCCCTTTCTATCCAGGCAGAATGGTCAGGTCCAGCCTCAGAGCACATCCACTGTGCTGCCCTTGGCTGTGGGTTCGTCTTCTGTACCACAAAGCTCTTGAGATCAGGAGGGAGCCAGTCGCCCGCCTCTGGCAGCCACAGTGCCCAGCCCAGCACATGGAATGGGGAAGGCCAAGAGCAGAGAACGAATACACAGCAGAATGAAAGAGCGCAGAGAGCCTGAAGCGGGCCGTGAGGGCTTGCCACCTGCCTGCACACGCTGCCCGGATGATGGGGGCGTCCCACTGCTTGGGGGACCCCTTGATTCTGTTTTCTCCCTAGTTGCCTCACCATAGGGATTTCCTCCTCTCTCCCCCGCGTCTCCAGAAGGAAGACTGGAGGTGAGTTTGTCAGGAGTACAAGTCAGAGAAAGTCATTTAGGAAAAGGAAACTGCATAGTACAAAGGCACAAGGTATGGAAGATGGAGTTCAATGCTCCATTTTATTACAGACTTTAAAGCAGGAGGGGTGGGGGCTGGGGGAGGGAGGCCGCTTCTGAGGGTCCCAGCCCTGAGCCCCGCTCCCTGCAGGCCCCGTAGGCCTCAGCGCTCCCTCTTCAGTGCCAGTTGTGATCTGCCTTGAAGGTAATGGATCAATTTGCAGTCTGTCTCCCCTGAGAATAAGGTGGGTCCCTTGGTAGCAACAAACTTGGCCTAGCTGTCTTTGTGTCCCTACCGCACTCAGCATGATGACTTTAGAAAGAAGACATTTCATAAAATGTTTGATACATGAAAGAACATCCACAGAGCCGGGTCTCCTGAGAGGCAGGGATGTTTACTCCAATTCTTCAGGGGAAGTGGCTAGGTCCTGGGGAACTAGATGGTGGCAAGCCTGGAGCTAGGACCCCGTGGCCACCCCCTGGTCTTCCTAGAGCTGTCCAAAGGGAGGTAGGCTGGTGGAGTGCCCACCTTCACCCTTCCCTCAGGAAGGTGGCCAGGGGAGGGCTTAGCTAAGTAGAACCTCATTCTTCCTGAGGTCCTGGCATATTTTGCTCACGCCTATGGGGCCAATGGTCATGCTCAAACCTCCAGTCTCAGAGCAACCGAGCCCTCTGTCTCCCCAAGCACCACACACCACAGGCCACTAGGTGGTGCCAAGTGGTCAGTCAGCCTCTTCCCAGAGATCTGGCAGGTCCTTTGTCTCTCAG